CCTTTACCTTGGGCTTGCGGGACTTTTAAGAGCAGCATAACTGTTTTTTGTAACATAAATGTCGAGTGAACTGTCAAAGCAACTGGGGAAATTGTTTTGGACCCAAAAAAGTTCTGCACTGCTGTGTGCTCAAAATGTTGGTAAAAGTAGTTGTGAGTAGTAAAACAAAAAAAGCTTGAGACCCAAGTTAAAATTCAGATTCATCAAAACTGAATGTTTGTTTCATTGCTATTAAAATAAAAACAAAAACCACAAATCAATGGTGCACTGCTACAACAGATGACTTTAAATATCTCACCTCCTTTTTTCATCACGTGACAGCATGAAGCATAAACAATGCAGAAACATTTTAGGCAGATGTTTACTATTTTTCATGTTGGGTGGAGCTCCATTCTCCATCTGGAAGTCCATTTGTTTTCTTTAAAGGAGTTTAATGGAAACACGCACAATTTACATTTTATTTTCCAGTATTCTTCTTTAAACTGGTCAAATTTTGGATGAAAACCATTCATGTGGCTGAAGCATCAAGCTTTTTGATGACAGCAATGTACTTCATGCCAAAGATAAAAGAGAAATATTAATGTAACATAAATCCTGAATATGAAAAGTGACAGGATGACAAGAAGAGGACTTCAGTGGGATTTTGTCATACTTATTAGTCATTATGATCCAATCAGAGCCAGACCTTGCTTTTACTGTGTTTCTGTGCATTTACGTGTGGCATGTAGCACATTGTAAAATGGTGCTGTGATCCTCTTCCATGGAGGAACGTAGAGATTTATAAGGTGAGTGTTGTGGAAAGAATCAATCTGACATAAAAAGGTTCAGCTGCTCTGTCAGCAAACCCAATACTTGTATGGATTAAAGGCTTGGCATATTTTTTAACTTTCTAAAAATTGCTTTGTTGTTTTGTCTGTCTTTGATTAGCAGGCATCACCAACATGTCCAGTGTACACAGATAAATATATTTAAGGTGACAAAATATTGTGACCTTGGATATTGTTGCTGTTGCATCAAACAATTATTGAACTTTAGTTATATTTATACTGAGAAAAAACATGATCAGTAGTGTTATTGTTCTGTAGGTTTACAGATATTCTAGTTTCTGGGTTATCTGGCACTCAACTCTTGGAAATGAAGTTATTCCAGATGACAGCCTATTCCATCATCTCAGACTTGTAACCCTATCACACTGTCATGAATCAGTGCTGTTAACATTATGGTTTTGGAGTTTTGGTGAAAAACTTTAAAGTGGACACTACCCCCTTTTTGTTGTGCTTTTATATAAATATATAAAGACCAACTTTATATGCATATACAATTAGGGAAAGACAATATAGTGGCTCAAAGTAGACCAGTTTCAGCTTGATAAACCAAAACAGGATCCAGTGGAAGTCTGTTTGGTTAGTGGATATCCTGCTGTGTGTGTGTGTGTGTGTGTGTGTGTG